TATAGATAAAAATTTGCATATAAGAATTTTCTATTAACGATGCATATTTTAGTTAGTGGTATTCCGTATAGGCTATGTCAAACCTAGATTACTCTTATACATGTACTAGACCTATATATTCTAAACGACTTCTGTTTAATGTAATTTGGTAAATAACTAAATACTATTACGCTAATTACTCATCTCGTCATGTCCTACGTTAATTGTTACATTAAAACTGGTTTTATTCCACTTTTTTATTTCAATACAAGTAAAACTGGTACTTATGTAGGTATTTTACGATTTTTCTTACTAAGAGTATTAATCACACAAGTACATTGATATTCATATATACGTAAGTATTTATTTTTCAATAGCATTGCCCGCGGCTCCGACGGCGTTCAGATGACCAAAAACCAAATTCTTAGGTTTTACATATAATAGTATAGGCACTCTTTCTTACATTGCAGTTTTTGTATTTTTTCTCAGAAATGAGACATTTTCCCGCGGTAAAAAGTATCCTATATGTTGACCCGGATAATTAGCTACCATCAAACCAAATTTCATCAAAATCCCTCCTGTGGTTTTTCCAAAGTAACACACAGACAAAAATTCTAAAAACTATAGATTCGGCCTCTGTATCGATAATAATGTCTATTTCAATAAGATTTTCCAAAAAATATTTAATGTACAAATTCGGCTTAGTTACAATTTTATTATATGTATAAATAGAAAAAATAAGCCTAATATTTTAACGTGATATAGCGCCTGGATGTAATACAACAGTGATATGATATGCTGCAAATTACCCAGGGCAATGAGCAGCGCGGAAATTGTTCAGCCGGAGATATTTATTGAGATCATTACACAAAATAACCGTGTTCTTGTAATATGTTTATATTTATTAGTTTTTCCTGATTGTTTGAAAATAATTTCACATCATGTAAAGTTTATTAATTTTGATAAATGTTTCATGTTTTCATATCTTCTATACATATAATAAAATTGTAACTAAGCCGAATCTGTACATTAAATATTTTTTGGAAAATCTTATTGAAATAGACATTATTATCGATATAGAGACCGAATCTATAGTTTTAGAATTTTTGTCTGTCTGTCTGTATGTCTGTTACCGCATCACGGAAAAACCACTGGATGGATTTTGATGAAATTTGGTATGGTGATAGCTGGTCATACCTACTTATAAGCGTCGAAGCACATACAGTAGCGTATCGTATAATAGTGACCCATTTCAAATTTTAAAATAAGTACCCATATTATCTTTTACCTATTCAAAAAAAGGATGAGATACTTCATACTTGTGATTTTTTTATGTGTTACACGAAATCTTCACCAATTGCGAAGGCACCCTAAGTGATTTTATCTTAAAATTTAGGTGTATGGGGTTGCCTATCGAGAAAAGAAATATGATTATCGGTTCGCTGAAAATTATTCAAACACCTATATTTATATACGTAGTACGTAGTTATTTTGAAGATAGCATTTATTTACGTAAAAGTATTGATGATGAATTAAATTTATAAGATGTTGATTATTTTCATAATACTTAGTCTTTATAATTAGCGATATTTATATAGTGCTTTAGATTCTAGAAGACGCAATAAGCATAACTTAAAACAATTTTAATGTAATAGGTTCACTGAACTCTAAACACAATAGGTGTAGCTACTTAATTATGATGAGAAAGAAGAATTATTTATGATACTGGTTTTTGGTTAGTGATTGAATTATTATTTACAATAGGTTTATACTTATTGATTTTGTTTTGGCAACAATTTGTATTTCAATTGTGTGAAACCTAAAGCTATATATAATTCTATACCATCCCCTTGATGACTGAGTTTTCGGGGTTTATGTTCTAAGCCCGAAAGGAACACAGGAAAAATAGACGCACGTATGATATGTCCAAAATGTGACTAATAATACTAATAATTATTATCCTGAAAGGAATTTGAACCTTGACCTTTGGCGGAGAGACATAGGTCAGGCGGCCGTTAAAATGTTTTCAATGATTTATTTCTACAGAGTTCTCTTCAAAGACGGAATGTTTTGTTAATTGACTTATCTGTACTTTAATGTGATCATAATAAAACCTGTGTAGGTTTTTATGGATAGAAAATTAAATATGAAGTGTGAACTCTAATAATATTTTTAACCGACTTCCAAAAAAGGAGGAGGTTCTCAATTAGTCGGAATCTTTTTTTTCCAATGTATGTTCACCGATTACTTAAAGATGCCTAATATTTTAATTAAATATGAATATCTAATAGGTTTAAATATGATAAAGTGTGAACTCTAATTATAGTTAATAGTTAAAATATTATACATCAATTTGTGATGTATTTTAAAATAAAATTACATTTACCTATCTATCTATCAAAAGTATATCATTGACTCAGAGTTGTAAAAAAAATTGGTACTTATGTATCTGATATCGTAAAATGATATGCTATTATAAGATCGTAAGAAACGAATGGACCTACTTATAATTTTATTTATTGATATTTCCTTACATTTGAAACATCTTACTAGCATTATCTAGAATCTCTTGAATCTAAATAGGTACGTGCTTACGGAAAGAATCCCTTTGCACGAACTATTTGAATCGTAAGTCTCAGCTGCGAGAACTGAGAAGAATATGGATATTAGTTATAGTTAATAGTTATAATGACTGACCTCATACCTTTTATATTCCATGTCCGTGTGTTGTAGTATAATAGGGAATATGCGTGTGATCTAAATAAAGGTGAAATATTTTTTTATAATCTTTATTGCTATTGAATTAAGCCTATATTATTATTTTTTAGAGTATTTTTTATTAAGAAAATAATTGTTAAAAAGTGCAAATATAGGTAGGAAATTCGAAGTAACACCATTGAAACACAACACCATTAGTCAGACCGAATATGATGTCAAAGTCTACAATAACAGGGCCAGTGTTACCAATTTGCTGGAGCAAAAGTCGTCATTTTTAACTTTTTAGCGACAAAATCGCTAAAATGGCAACACTGGCTCTGTTACTTATTACAGACTATGACGTCTCGCCAAGAGCGGTATGATATTTCTAAAATTGTTTTTAATTTGTATACTAAATTTTAATTTCATGGAGCTGGATATTTTTTTACAATTACCTATATAATCTATTGTATCAAAAAAACACGCATATTCTCTATTAGAATATCTCTATAAATAGAAGATACTTAAAAATTAGGAATTTCTACCTAAATCGTATTATAAAAAGTAATTAGTGTAAAATGAAAACACGGAACCGTCTCTCACCTGCTCTCTTAAAACAGTTAAATGAAATGAAACTGTGTATCCGGTTGATTGTGACGTCGCCAGTTTTGTACTTTTTTCTATAGTCGCTATTCGCTAATGGAACTATGGCATCCTATATGCTGTAAGGTATCTACATACATACGACCTGACGGGAAATTGAATGTTTTGTTATCTCACTTTAGCTGATATGTGCCAAGCCATCGATTTTCAACACAATGCCTTCCTAGCTTTTATTAGAACTACCTATAAAGCATGATTTATAACGTTTGATTTTTTTTAAATCATTTAGGTAAAGGTACGCCAATTTCTAAAGTATTTTTGTAGAACAACGACCCCAGGTGAATAAGGTGGAACTAATTTAGTAACATATTCCAGATTCACTTTTTGGCGCGATAAAATGTTTTAGGTTTGCACTTTTATTATTTTTCACGTAAATAGCAAATCGTGGATTGATTTATTTAAACGATAAAAGAAGAAGAGTTACTGCTCATCAGATAACTAAATACTCTTATTTATTAATGACCAGCTAGATCCTAGGTAGGTACGTAATTCAATAAAATATTATGAAATATCGAGGTAAAAATTTTGTGGCACAATTTTTTTGAGATATATATAATAGAGAATTAAACGCAGTATTGTATAAAATAACGTTATATACCTACCGTTTTCAAAAGGCAGATCGCGTGTTAGGTTAACTAAACGTAAAGAATATAAAATATAATCAATGAATACGATATCATGAAAATGCGGTCTGCGATAGCCGATAAGATTTCAATAAGGTGAAAGCTGTGTATTTTTCATCAAGTCGAGTAAAGGTATGAATTTTTGTTGATGTAATATCTACATTCTTTTATTTTACCCTACTACTATATACAACTCAACTTCAAGGTCGCTGAGAAAGCGGCGGCTTCCTATTGTCAAGTATTAGTCGCAGTTGTTTGTTGCCGGATAAAGAAATAATGTTAATTATTATCATACAAGAGATTAAAAACGAAGCATCATGGACCTAATTGTGTATATAGTACACGTAGATATATAATGTTCGACTCTTTTTAAAATCCTATTCTAAACTTTGAAAATACCATTTTAAAACCTTTAATAAATAAGGCTTGGATTATGGCTACCGGAACCTTATAATAATAATTTTGAGTTGTAAGGTCAAAAAGGGAAATTTGTTTCTTTCGTGTACATATTTTTATGTTTGCATCCAGGAAAACGGTAAGACATCAAATTAATGATATTGTGTCACGAATAGTCAGTTACATAATCCATAATAATAATTTAGACAAAAGTCGAAATGAAAAGTCATGTTAAACTTTGGATTAGATTGCTTGAATATAGTCATAGAAAATCAAATATCATATTTAAAAATTACAATATTACCTACCATTATCTTAATTTACTATCACGTTATAGTAACAACGGTTAAATTCACTGTCAAATGTCAAATCTTCATCTTAAGGATGGGTCGTAATTCCAGGACAATGTAATATGGACAATTTGGTATCCAAGTTATTTTTTTTTCAGTTGATTCTAGTAATATTAAATGATCTGTATCGTCATGGATCTTTTCGGATTTCATCGCGGTTTTACTTTGAGTTTTGTTTCGAAGGCTTTACAGCAAGTATGACCACGAGAGAGATTGACTATTCATTTGGTTAATTTTGAATAGTAAGTACCTATATAGAATGTAGTTTTTATTTATTTTACTCTTTCCTCAGAAGCGGAGTGCGATGGATGCGGCAGCGACAGCGAGGAAGGGCGCAGCGTGGGCGAGCTGCTCCTGCCGCAGTACGCGCTGGCTACGGGCGGGCTGGCGCGCGACCACCGCCCTCTCATCACGTTCCCCGATAACAACAACTTCCACGTACTCTCCGCCGCCGAATACCGCCGCCTTCTACTCTACCTCACTTCTGTGCCCTCGTAAGTGAATTAACTTTATTTTTCTTAAATAATATCTATTCAAGGGATCGAATCAATTCATTCAAGGGAATCGACTATAGCCTACGAATAAATTATTTATTCGTAGACTATAGCCAATAAGTAGGGTAATGTTTTCGTATTTCATAGAAATGTATTTATTTTCTTGGTATCAGTCTAATTTTTTTATGTTTGTTACTCATATTTAGAAAAATATATTTAAAAAACGGATTAGTAGTTTAACACCTCCATGTAAACTTCTAAGAAATTAACTAAATTTCTAAGAAATCTATTGTTAACTGTAACGCCGGCGATTCCGCGGTCGTGGAGGGATTATTTGATCATTAAATTTCTGTTAATCGCACGTCACTCTGTAACGACTGAACGGATTTTAATGGCACTTCTTATCGTAAAGATAATAGTAATTTAAAAGACATACATAGTAGTTATATAGCTATCTGGTTTAAATTGCTATTTCCATTATCCATACTCATACTCATATAGGTCAAGCTCCTCATTTTGCACGCTCCCGTCTTTAAAAGGTTCGTAATGATCAATGTTTGTGGTCTATATTACACTCTCAGGTAATGCAGTAATAAAAATAACCTAAAATATAAATAGATAAAAATAGGCGGGGCATGAACGCGTCCTTTAAATTTCCCTTAGACGATTAGAATATACGACAGTGAGTGACACACATGAGTGACTTTTTCTTCTCATGAATTTTATTACATAGAATATTATCGTTTGGGTGATATTTTTTCTTTAAAATATAAGCTAAAGCCTTATAGAATAGAGTTTTAATTAATGTACCTAAATGTTAAGTAAAGAGATTGCCATACCTGCATATGATGTAGGTAAATAAATCCCAGATTTTTGTATATGTACGAGATAAATCTTGATACCTAGAAGTAATTATAATTTTATTCACCTCATAAATGATAACATGATTTTTAATATAAATAAACATTTACATCTATAAAAATAAGTTAACGAACCGAAGCGTGTACTAACGAACGATAATTACCTACGGCTTAAGTTTAATAGAGACTGATATCTTATAATACGTATATACATGGATACCGATAACATACAAAATGCTTCACACTACACGAAGCTATGGAGAAAACTATACTATTAGTTTTCACAGCAATAGACGTACGAACGTAACGCTTTGAGGTGAAACACCGTTGCGATAAATCATTAACGTCGGCCAATTTTTGAAACAGCTAGCTAATAAGTAATAACTATTTTTACCTGATTGCTCCAGTTTTTTGAACATAAAATTCGACGGTTTGTTAATTTTTAATATAAATTATAGAATTGTGGGAGTGGCATAGCTTGTTTTAATATTTGGTTAGGTACACTATATTTTATATAAAAAAGTTATATCAATAATAAAAAAATCGATACAAATAATAAAAAAGAGAAATAAAAAAACATTATTAATATTTCGTTATATCCTTAATTTCATATTAATAAAAAGTATACCAATTGGCTTAACCTAAAATTACAAAATAATTAATCTATTGTAGTAGTGAGTAGGTATATCTATGTAAATTAAAATGAATTACCGAAATATATATACGCGCTTAACTTCCGATTGACTGCACAAAATTGGATAATTCTTTTTTGTGTGTTTGTTATTGTCAAGAAGTTTCGTATAGAAGAAAATTAAAAGATTTTTGTACTAAAGTAAGTTTTTTTTAAATCATCCCTTAAGGGGGTGAGGATGGGGATGAAAGTTTGTATGGGGAAGCCAGGGACGAACCCGAGCGAAGCGAGGGTGAGTCGCTAGTCTATATAATAAAAGTAACAAAGCGAAATCTGTATATGAAATATTTTTAAAAACAATGACTGTTACATGTTGTGTACAGAATAAAGACCCCAAGAAATAGTTATTGAAAATTTTATCTGTTTGTATGTATCAAAACATTAAAGTTGCATAAAAATAATTTATTAGAGAGTTGTAGGTCTTAAAAAGGCCTACAGAAAAGTCTGCGATAGCATGTGTATATTTCCTAAGGTACATACACTCACAATAACTTTGTTATGTATTTAAAACGTATCCAGACGACGCACGTAGATCTAGGGATGCACCCGAGCGAAGGGTGGTTTTTAATAAGGATTACTGTTTACTTGTTAAAGTCTAACATATATTGTATGGTTTTTCAGTTTATTAGAAGCTGAAATGGGCTTCCATATTATAATAGATCGAAGAAAAGATAGATGGAATTCCGTTAAAACAGCTTTACTTCGAATATCAGTAAGTAGATTTAGTTGTTACCTAAACCTTAATCTAACTTTATGTTATTCACTACACGTACACACATGTCCGTATAAATGAGTAATTTCCATTTAAAATTAGATGAAAGGCAATAGTACGATTGGACATACGTGTAATTTTAAAGTTTCGTTACGTAATTTATTTGAAACGATTAAAAAAATCCTTTAAAAAGTCGTTAACAAAATGTAAGTATTTAGAACAAATAAAAATTTATTGAAGTATATAAAAAACTAGTATAAGCATATGTTCTGCCTTTCCAGGAATTTTTCCCGGGTATAATTCACGCAGTATACGTGTTACGACCAGCAAGCTTCCTCCAAAAAGCCTTATCGGAAGTAAGCAGTAAACTGTTTAAAGAGGAATTTCGATTCCGAGTGCTAGTGTGTTCGTGTGTCGACGAGTTGTATGAACACTTCGACAGATCGCAACTTACTCCCGATCTAGGCGGAGAACTTCAATATTCACATTCTGAGTGGATACAACAGCGAATTGTAAGTACTTTGTAATATAGTATTGAAATTAAGTATGATATTACATTGACAAAACAAGTTTTATTTAATTAAAGCCGTCTATGCCTTGATAGGGATACCTAACATGTTAGAACTCTGGATAAAATAAAACCACAAACATGTGGACTGCTGAAAGCTTTCTGTGACAGATGACATGTATGAGTAATATTTATTTAATGCAATAATTTATGCATTAAATAAATATTACTCTTTAATAATAATAAAATACTTAGTAGATGATACGAACGAACAGATTGTTTGTTGTATTAGGCATCTACGTAGCAATTAAACATTCTGTTTAATTAGAAATGTGTTGGTAATCTTAATGCACTATATGCTGTAGCTATACTATAATTAATATACAAACACGTTGCCATTGTACCACAATAAGATTTACTTTAAAAAAACAAACAATAACACTCTTTTGACCAAATCTAGTCTAATAGGACTGGACGAAAGCTCAAACTGAGCTTTTACTAGTAGTCATTGAACTGTACCGTATCTGGCTTCACAATCGAGCTTAATGATATCAAATTAAATTAAAGTACTGTCATGAAACGGCACGTTTGGCCCAGTTTGTAGTGACCCTACTTGTTGTGCCAGCGGTCGCGGGTTCGAGTCCCGCTGGTGACTCATTCATGGTGATTCATTTGTGTGATGAGCACGAATGTTTGTACTCCAGTCATGGGTGTTTATATTTATAAAATGTATGTATTTAAAGTTATATGTGTAGTATATCAACTATCTGGTTTCCATAACACAGGCTTCGTAGCTTACCATGGAACTAGATGGTGCTCTGTGTTAAGGTCTCAACATATTTATTTATCCGGATTTATAAAGTATCAAATCGATAATACTATTAGAAGTAGTTTAAAATTTATTGAATGGTTAAATACAATTAAAAAAGTATCTAGTTTTTTTTCAATGATGTTAACCCTTGCGCTCTGAATCACTAATGTGGATAAATTGGAATGATTCGTAAAGAGCTGATCGCCTTACGATCTACTGAGAAAATAATTAGATGTATTTAATATTAATTTTATTGAAACATTCATGACGCTAAGTTGTATTTATTCCAGGCTTTAGAGAAGTTTTCAACATTGATGAAAGAGATATCGAGTAAACTGGATGAATTTATGCACGAAATAGTGGATTGCGATATGGGAAACGATCCTACACAAACCAAAGAATTATTAGACTGTCAAGAATCTAGGTATGACTTTAATATTGACTTATAGCTTAAATTTAGATTACATATGCATATTTTTAGAAATATATAGAGATAACTAGCAGATGACCAAAAACCAAATTCTTAGGTTTTACATATTAGTATATTTACATTGCAGTTTTTGATTTTTTTTTCTCAGAAATGAGATGTTTTCACGAGGTAAAAAGTTTCCTATATGTTGACCCGGATAACCAGCTATCACCATACCAAATTTCATCAAAACCGATCCAGTAGTTTTTCTGTGATGCGGTAACAGACAAAGAGACAGACAAAAATTCCAAAAATCTATAGTTCGGCCTCTGTATCGATAATAATGTTTATTTCAATAAGATTTTCAAAAAAATATGTACAGATTCGGCTTAGTTACAATTTCATTATATGTATAGATATACTCGTATAAAGAAAATGTTATACATCCAATCTATCACACAATATTCAATTATGAGTTAAAAGTTTTTCTTTGAATACATTTATGGTGTTCCTATTAGAATATTTTTAATAATACAACATTAAAATATTTATCAACGTTTGACATTTAGTTAGGATGTTTATAATTGAATGATAACTTTTGTATAATAAACACAAAAGTTATCGTTCGTGTCATCTTATATGTATATCGATGTATACAATACATCTAAATTAATTAATTAATCTAAATTATAAGTTATTTTATAATTTTCATTTTTCTTTTCAGATATAAAGCTTTAAAAACTGAATTGTCGTCAGCGACATCTCAAGGGGAGGAGTTGCTGACACAAGTTCGAAAACCAAACCTTACTTATAATATTATTAGCCATGTAGCTGCTGTTGAAAGGTAAAAAGATTTGATATTTTAATCATTCATGCATAAAAGTAATTCTATAAGCCACATACAATAAAAATAACAAAATATTTTATTAATATAAGTAATATACCATTTTTAGGTTGCTTGTTCAACTAGACGAGACTGAGAAACAATTTGATAACTTTTGGCAAAAACATTCGATGAAGTTAAATCACTGGCTGAAATTTCGAACATTTTTATTAAACTTTAAACAGATGCAGGTAATTATTACACTTAATACTACACACAAGAGCACTTACACTTGAAATCATGAATGAACAGGTCTAAATTGAAAGCCTGGTCGTTTATTTTTATGACGAAAATCAAATAAAGGTGTTTTTGGTGAACAAATCCTACGAGAATCATCGAAGTCTTTCATTGGCTTAAATACGAATGCCTCCGATGCAGCTCTTTTTCCTACTAAATCTGTGATATTCAAACATTTCTCTTGATCATCATTTTTATCCTCAAAATTAGGTAAACGAAAATCTTTTCGCTTCGTAGAATCAAGTTGAAATGACAGTTTTTGTATTTGCCTTGTTCTTTCTTCTAACCGTGCTGTGAGTTCCTCCGCTTGCTTTTTTTTCTTATTGAACTCCGTTTGTAAAGAACTAATTTTACGTTTACAAGTTTCTAATTCGGCTTTCAATTTCTGCACATTTAGTGCGTTAACTTCTTCAAGACATTGTAATTTCTCTTTTGAATGTTTCGCCATGCTTTCCTGAAACAGCGTTTCTTGTTCCACTTGATACGACCAAAACGACATTGCTCGCATAGCGACATCCATGATAATATCTGGCTTTAATCCAGCCAACACTATTGATTTAAACGTTTCTGTAGGCTTAAGATCGGCTTGGATGACATCAAATTTATCTCGCAGTTCACTCCCACACGCTGGACACGTAAAAAAATTTTCTGCATTCTTTTTAAATTCACGTTGACCGTGTTCGACGCAAAAAGCATGAGAACATGTCGTTACCCACGCATGACTTGATAGAGATTTCCTGCACTTCCGAAAATTGCAAACAATATCTAATGTCATTTTAAATTATTCAATTCAATTTTACACTTATAAAATCCTAAAATTATAACTTTACGTAGTAAATTGTAATCATTTTGTTGGCAGATGCAAATTTGACATTGTCTGTCAAATATTATTTTTAAATTTAATACTAATGTTGTCAAACAAATAATAATTAAATGGCCAGTAATTAAAAGTTTTATATTTTTGTTATAATATAATCTTTTTCAAAATAAAAATAAATAAGTTTTATTGTTTGATATTCATTTTAATTTTAATATTTTTAAGGCTACTTTAGATAGCCATCTAAAGACTGCGTGCGACATGACTGAAGTTGGGGAGACGGCAAATAGAGTGGACAGTCTTATACAAGAAGCGAACGAGTTCGAAAAATTGTGCAACTGTGATCTTGACTCTGCTTCAACGGTTATTGAAGAAGGTATATCTACATCTACACTAATATTATAAAAAGGAAAGATTTGTATTTTTGTATGTTTGTTACGAATAAAGTCAAACACTACTGAACCGATTTCGATGAAATTTGGTAACAAAATATTTAGAGACCCTGGGAAGGAAGGGAGAAATCATCTCTTAGGGGGGTGAAAATAGGTATGAAAGTTTGTATGGGGAATCAACCCAGGGACAAACCCGAGCGAAGCGAGGCTGAGTCGCTAATAGTTTATAACTTTGGAATATCCTTATAGTAGCTAGCACTTATCAATGTAAAATACCAACCCTAAAGGTTTTTAATATGTTAATATTATTATTTTTTGTAGGAGAGAAATTAATGAGCGACCCACTTAGCTCCGTTGATCACATAGAATCAAAATGCGAAGAGTTGAGACGAACGAGTTCACTACTGATGGAGAAAATACAAAAACGAAATTTGCTACTAACCAAAGCTAGAGAATTAATGGATAGAATAGACAAGGTAAAATATTTAGGCTTTTGTTAAGTTTACATTATTTATGGCAGATAATTTTAGAATTTATTTGAACATTCTTATTTGTGTTATCATGCTCTGGATAAGGTATAAAATTCGGAAAACGAGCATGAATTATTTAAATTAGACTAGAAATTCGAGTCAAAGTAATAGTTTTTATCTCGCCACACTAAATATAGTATAAAATTGCATAATTTAAAAACTCTTCAAGTTGAACGTGTAATCTCTAGCATAGTAGTGAATATTAATTTAACAAACACAATAAAATGATGATGTTCTCCTGACCGATTCCGGCCACGGCGGCCAATCTCATTGAAACTAGCCAACTGCGCAGGAGATATTATAGTGCTGCGCGTGTACACGCAGACACAACGTGCACTTTCTATTCCTGTCACTCTCATACTCTGGTGAAACAATAAAATAGTAAAATAATAAGCGTCTTAATTTTAATACCATATGTAATATTATAAAAAAAATTATAATGAAAAATAATTAAATATAATACAACACTTATTCAAAAGGCAAACGACTGGTGTACAACCGGGGTAGAAATCTTGGCCGGAGAGGGAGGGCTCATAGCGGTGGACAAGCTTCTAGAAGATGCGAAGAGTTTCGGTCTCGCCGCGCCCGAGCAGTTCCGCGACATGCTGCTGCAGTCAGCCACGCAGGAGACCCGCGCTTTAGTCACGCAGGTTGGGCAACAAATAATTTTTTTTTATGTTTTATGAAAATGCATTTACGCATACCACCTGTAGACATACAGGTGGTTATATGGGACTCGCCGGTTTGAAATGCTAGTACTACCCACTAAAACCCAACCAAACTTTCCCCCGTCTTAATAAAACTCAAGTTAATAAAATAACTATTACAATAATTTTCTGGTTATTATACTAAAACCTTAAACTACCTTTGAGACCCAAACATGTAGGCTGTACATTTTCACAGTTTATCACAATACACAGCCTAAACCGCAGGGTTTAGATTTTTAAATCAAGACAACAAAATTTTGCACAAGAGTTTTTTTATATACAAGGCACTAATATAAGTTTTTTTTAATACCGAATTTTATTGAAGTTAGTTTTAGATATTGAAATTGATGTTTAAATAACTGTTTATATGTTATCATACTATTATATATGAGAAAGTTTTTATTTGTTACTTCTAATCGCTGAAACGGGTTGACGGATTTAGATGAAAATTAGTGCACAAATACTTGGAATATCTGTTAGTCGCTAGTAGAACATAGAACACAACATTGGGTTACTATCAGTATTATAATATAAGGTGTTACCGATTCTATACACAATACAAACATTGCAGGTGTGCCAGCGCGTGGAGGACGTGTGGCTGATGGTGTCGGTGAAGCGCGCGACGCTGGTGCGCGCGGCGGCGCGGCCCGCGCGCCCCGTGCAGACCGTGCCGCCACACTGCGCCGCGCCACCGCCTAGCAACCAGGTTAGTTGTGTTCCATTTTTAAATATTCTGGAGAGGTTGAAAAGAGGTGACATGTTTATTTTATTTCTTTTTTTTTGTCTTAGAATTGGTAACAGGTAACAGGCCCAACACATTCTGCCAGTATTAATATATGATTGGTTCAACTTTAAAGTAACGATACCTAGCGTGATAAGATATGGTTTGCTTTAGTTTAATTGAGCAGGTGTCCCATCCCCTAGGGTCTAGTGTACGGGCAGATTAAGTCATATAGTATGTAGATGTAAGACAGTTATATGTTTGTTCTTTTGTTAACTGGATTCTTGTTAATATTAATTTTCATGATTCTCCTTAATACTTATATTGTTATTTTTTCGTTTTACGATGATTTTTGTATTGAGTGTAGAAGACAAAAAATGTCTCAGTATAATGTAGACAGTGAAACCTAAACTTGCATTCTGAAGACGAAACGAAAAGAGTTAATAAAATCATTAATTTCAACTACAAGTCGTGTAATTGAGTATAAAATTAGTTTAAGAAATAGTTTAATAAATATAAAAAGTTTCCTATAGATTTAGTTTATTAATTTTATGGTAGGTACTTCGGTGCCGTTTTTCCTTTCTTCCAATCTATTGTTATAATATATTGGTAGACATCGACTACGATAACTATGATTTTTAGACGTCAAAAAAAACCTTCTTCACATGTGATCATGTTTGCCGTAAAGCGTTTGTAACGCAGGAACAAGAATGAAAAAAAAAGTCCGAAACAATAGTTTTTTTTTAAATCTAAAATATTCGCAATCGCAATCTAAAAAGTATTGTATGTTTAAATTAAATCTACATGTACTCGTAGCAATATAATGATCTGGTGAAGGACAATAGGGAATAACCGCTCTCCGAGTGCTTTAAATAAAGGTGAAATATTTTTTTTTATATTCTTTATGGCGTCTGAATTAAGCCTATACCAATATTTTTTAATGTAATATATCTTCGATTAAGAAAATAATTATTAAAAAGTGCCAAAATAGAAAATAATTATTAATAGTTGGAAATTTAAAGTAGGTAGGTGGAACGCAACGGTATTAGTCAGATCGTAAGTGACGTCAAAGTCTATTATCCATACCAATGTATAAATGCAAAAGTAACTCTGTCTGTTCGTTACCTTGTCACGCTTAATCCGCTTAACCGATTTAGACGAAATTTAGTATGGAGATAGTTTGAGACTCTGGGAAGGACATAGGATAGTTTTTACTCCGGACATCATCCCATAAAGGGGAGAAAAGCGGGGTGGAACTTTGTATGGGGAATCAATCATTTCTCAAGTAAGGGATATAAAACTCATCATACCTATGTGTATACACTACTATATAGTCTTATGTTCCGACAATATTTTAAAATATGAATATCTAATAGGTAAATATAATTAGGTATGAACTCTAATTATAGTTAACATCTCCAGGTAAATTTCTAAGAAATTAATTACATTTCTAAGAAATCTATTGTTTACTGTAACGCTGGCGTATCCGCGGTCGTGGAGGGATTATAATATTATACCTACATCAATTTGTGATGTATTTTACGTATCAGAATATATAAGATTTGCTTTGCATCGGCTGGCACCGACTTCGAAAATATCTGATTAGGTATGTATTTTAAATGAAACCTCCCCGTTTAGTTATTTTTTACATTTTAGTGCCTGGAACTTGGCTTTTATTTTATTTTTTTAAGTTTTGGCGTTTAAAGTATCCATATCTGTAGGATATTTTTAAGTTATTTTTTATACTAAATTTTAGTTTGAGGAGCTTGCATTTTTTTTACAATTAACTATGTAAGCTATTATATAAAAAAACACGCATATTCCTTATTGCGGTGTTCTAAATCGCAACCAATAAACAGATAAAGGTATAATATTAAGTTTTCTCAGTCTAAGTCACATTTACTAAACAAAAACAATATAGCCCTCTTAATATACTTAATATATAGGTAAACTCATAACAAAAGTTAAGAATCATTTTATTTTGGTATATGAAAACCGAAGACTTTCCTGCAAGCGGATACTAATCATTATTCTACTCGCCTCCACTATAATACGAAACATCCATACTAATAAGAGTTTCGATCACTGTGCGTGCGGCAATACGAAAGTGTAATGTATTTCGGAACGTCAGTAGTCCCTTAAAGTTTAACGAGACGGAAGTAAGCGCATTGTATATGTAGTAAATTCTCTTATTTTATCGTTAGTACATTCGTTAAAACATCGCTTTCGTAAATCAATATAAAAAAAAGTTTTTGTTTCATAATTTAGCAATAAAATGCATAATATAATGCGTAAAGCCAGCGATCAGTTTTCATTTCGTTCAGATCTTACCAACTTGTAAAAATTATACTTTACCTTTAGCAGGATAGTTTATAAATTATAATAGCTCATGCAATATGCACTTGGCTTTTTTTTAAGAAAATTAAATTCAGAATCAGATCATTACTTCAAGACATTACTAAATATTTGCAGATGTATTTCCTTTACTCCAACTGCGCAAAAATGAAAAAAAAAACCAGTAGTTGTGTAGAAAGTGCGAGAAAGCATGCGTGGAGGTCGTGCAAGGTATCATTACCGCGAAGGCTAAGAATATGTATTATGCATATCAATAATAATTACATGCACGTATACTTGTACGGTGTACCTTAAATTAAACTTATTTTCTCTAATACAGTCGAACGCTAAAACCAATCGAACACTTTAATATAGCGCTTCATGAAGATGATATTAATCTATACATATAATAAAATTGCAACTAAGCCGAATCTGTACATTAGATATTTTTAGGAAAATCTTATTGAAATAAACATTGTTATCGATACAGAGGCCGAATCTATAGTTTTTAGAATTTTTGTCTGTCTTTCTGTTACCGCATCACAGAAAAACCACTGGAGGGATTTTGATAAAATTTGGTATCGTGATAACTGGTTATCCGGGTTAATATATATAGGATACTTTTTACCGCTGGAAAATATCTCATTTCAGAGAAAAAATACAAAAACTGATTGAATGATTAAAAAAAAATTATTCCAGACTAGTCACCCAACATCCCTAGATCCCATTTATAATTATTTTAAAGAAGCTCTCAAAAAGTAACTCTTAAAACTAATTCGCAAATATCATGATAGCAGTAGCTTATTTTTGCAATATTTATAAATTATAACCTATTATAATATTCGTAGATTTTTCTAATAAATGTTTTTAACCTTCTGAAAATCCGTGCAATAATATCCGCCATTAGCCCGTTCACATACAAACCTAGGCGGGGGATTTTGATTTAATTTTATAATTTGTAGTGATGCTTTATATTTATATGATCATGCAGTAGAAGTCGACCGTGTAAATCTGTGTTAGTGCTAAAATGAAATTTCAATGATATGAATGATTGTGGGACACAGTACCATCGACATACATCAGTTGATCTACATTGTACATATGTATGACTTGACACTTCTCTCGGATCGCTTTTATATCTATGTCCTAGAGACAAAACAGTAGTTTTTCTTCAGTTTGGCAACCGTTTTTTTATTAGTAGCTATTGACGAGAGCTATACCTACTCTACGAGTGTTACCAATAAAAAAAAAAACAAAAATAATTATGGTCGAATTTTGACCACAGGGCGAACACCAGTAATAAAAGCTACAATCGAATTATCTATCTGTCACTAGCGGCTCACTCTCGCTTCGCTCGGGTTCGTCGTCTAGGTATATTTTAACGGTTAGTATGAAATTGTATTCAACCTTTTTTAATGTTCCACTGCTGGGCACGGGCCTCCCTTATATACGAGAGGCATCAGGCCATAGTCCACCACGGTGGCCAAGTGCGGGTTGGCGGACTGCACATGTCTTTCGAGAACTTGCTAGGTTCTCTCAGTCACGCAGGTTTTCTCACGATGTTTTTCTTCACCGTAAGGCAAGTGGTTATCATGCTAGAAATGTTTCGCACATGAAAATATCAGAGGTGCGAAACGCGAGATTTGAACCCGCTTCACTCGGTTTCCCAAGCGAGCGCGTTACCACTGGGCTACCACTGCCTTTTATAGTGTGAAATAGGTAGACTATATTACTGCTCCGTTCCCTGGGGTAGTAGCATGATATATATAGCCTATAGCCTACCTCAATAAACGGGCTATCTAATGCAAAAAGAATTTTTCAAATCGGATTAGTAGTTCTTGAACGCATTCAAACAAACAAACTCTGCCTCCTTATAATATGAGTATTATTACAATTTTTCACGGATTGTAACTCTCGTACCAAAACGTATTATTAATGTGTTCTCTTGACGTGACCACACCATTATTGCTTAGATGCTTTCTAATAATTATATTTAGGGCCAACCCTAACTTTGTGACATGAATTTTATTTAAAATATTATCTATATCTAATACATTGTCTTACCGGACTACTACCATGCGAAACTTTGTATGTCTATGTGTATCTGTGTGTATGTTTGTTACTTTCTCACGCTTAAAAACAGTCGAATGAATTTCGATGAGTATACAGACCTATGCACTGGAGGAACAAATAAGCTATTATATTATGGCACCTAACACTTAACTGCACTAGTATCTATTATAACTTTTAATTTGCGAAATTAACTGTAATTAAATAAGAAAATTTAATCTTCCATATCTATTGTATACCTACAACAGTAAAATACTGGTAAAGTCTCCAAATGAAAGGAAATAATTTAGTTGATTAAGGGATAAACACGGATTCCTTCTAGGCATTTCCTCGAACACGTAACTCGAATTTCCTGAAGAGAGTTGACTAGAAAAAATGCAGATAAACTTGTTTAAATGCCTATAATACCACCTTCACTGGGTACCGGCATATCTCGTCTTGTTACATGATACTATTACGTATATAATCATGTACAAAATAGTTGAAAATATTGTTTAGAAAACATAATGTAGTATGATAATAATTAACTTCTGGAATATATTGTACTGACGGCCAGTACATTGAAAAGCTTGAATTTTGCTTCTCTATAGAAATAGAGTAGTAAAGATTCATTACGTTCTTTCGATGTATATATACGATATATATAAAAACATTATATAAAAAAAAATTA